GCTCTCAGGCAGCCGGCCCAGAAAGGTTTCCGAGGACACAGGAGCGGGGCTCCCACCCCGCCTACGTCAGACTCGGGGTATCTCCTTTCAGGCTGTGCTGGGCCAAGGCAGTCTTGTGGCTTTGCGGGAAGTTTCTGACCCGGGCGAGCACTCTGCCCCGATCAGAGTTATGGAGGGTTCTCCCGGCTGTGCCAGGGAAGGAGAGGGAGGTCCCGGGGGCTGGCTGCCAGCCTCCCTCTCGGCCTGCCTCCCCAGCCCGTAGCGCTGCCCTCAGTCTGTCCTGCCCGGGCTTGCTCGGATGACCGGTTACCTAATCCCAGACGGGGCGAGGCGAGGGCCGTGCACGGGTGGGTGAGAGGAAGGGTCAGGCCTGGTTCCCACATTGCAGTGGCCGCTGGCAGACGGCTGGGCTTCTCCGGCTGAGGTGCCCTCCCTGTAACATTGAGCGGAGGCCGCAGGCCACACCCACACTGATGCTGGCCCTGCAGCTAGGAGGTGCTAGGGTGTGACTCCATGAGCAGGACATCTCTGGCTCCCTCCGTGGGCTCCTGAGGACCTGGGAGAACAGAACCAGCCCCGAGAGCGCCCTGCGAGCCACTCAGGAAAGGGAGGGGAGCTCGGCTCTTTGTGGAGCCCTGGGGGCCACCTCAGCGGAAGTGCGTTCCCTGTCCCTTGGGTTCAAGTGGGACCTGTGGAGGTGGTCAGAAGAGCTGGCCTCTGAGCCCCCTGCAGAGCTGTGGTATATGGGCTGCCTCTCCACTGTCACCACCACTGCCACCTCGCTGTCACCACCACTGCCACCCCACTTACCACCACTGTCAAGCCCGCTGCCTCCCCCAGTGCTGCCCCTTCGCACCTGCCGGGCTCCAGCAGCCGTGTCCTGTGCCCGTCTCCCAGGGCTTCCATGACAGAGCACACGGAGTGCGGATGTGACAAGCAGACGTTCCTTCCCTTACAGTCGGGAGGCTGGAGTTCCAGATTGAGGCCTGGGCAGGCCAGGTTCCTCCCAGCACTCGCTCCCAGCACTCCAGGGGAGGGTCCCTCCTGCCTCTGCCTGCTGCTGGTGGCTGTGGCAACCGCAGGGTTCTGGGCATGTGGCTGCACCACTCCAGTCTCTGCAGCCGTCTCGTGGCCTCGTCCCTCTGTCTGTCCGTGCCCTGCCTCTTCCAGCAGGCCCTGGTCACGTAGACTCAGGTGCCCAGGAGTCTGTCACGGCCTGCCCCACTGTGTCTGTAGAAGCCCCACGTCCAGCTAAGATGGCGCCTGGGTTCTGGGTGGGCCCTGCTTGGCCTGTGCACCTGTGGACCTCGTGGTGCCCCTACTGTGATTTACAAGCCTCTGACTGCACGCCCCGCCTCTCCCGGCTGCCGAGCGTGGAGGATCCTGGGGGGACCCCCGAGCTGGGCTCTCCTTCTGGGCCCCACACTCTCAGGGAGGCAGAGGAGGCGGGGCAGGTGCAGGCACTGCAGGGTCACCCCTGGTGTCCCACAGTGAGTCCCCTCGGCCGTCTCCTGGCCCAGGGTACTGCACCAACCTCAACCATAGCCTGCGTCTGTCTGCCTCATCTGTCTGCCTACTTGGTTTTCGAGGATTGATTTGTTTGCTTTGGGGTTTTCAGAAGCGGGAAGGCCTGCTGCATTCCAGCCACGTCACGGAGGAGCTGACCACAACCACGGAGTAAGTGGCCCCACATGCTCTGCCTGCCAGGCCTGGCTGCCACGCTGGTGGGGATGCTGGGATGGGGCTGTCCCTTCACCTGCAGATGAGGTCCCCCCGCAGCCTCCACACGCGCTTTCCCTCCTCCGCACAACATTTCTGTTAGAGCTGCGTTGTCTTCCAAAGCCTTTGAGGTCTCAGTCCTTACCGTAGACAGTGAGCTGTAGAATGTTGGCAGCCCAGCTGCGATGGTGCAGGACATAGTCTGCTGCTGAGATGCTGCAGCCACATCAGAGTTGGGGTTCGAGTCCCAGGTTACCTGAATGCACCAGGGGTATGTGTACCTGTGATCCTGGCTGGGGACACTCAGAGCAGGATCATGGCATGACACGTTGTCAAGGGTACCTGTCCCTCTGTCTCATGAAAGTAGTAAATATAAACCACCTTGCAGAGGTGGAGAGGGAGCGAGCACTTGGGATGATTAGAGACTTGTCACCAGCTCGTTTATCCCGCTAGGGAGCTCCATGTGGGGAGCAGGGTGCTGAACGGAGCCACCGCCTGTCTCACAGAGAGCCGGGGCGGGGGCAGTTTAAGAAGTCTGAAAGGCCTCAAATCTCTTCAAAACAGTAAATCAAACAGTATATATATATATTTTTTTTTTGGAGAGATTTTCACTGTAGGGCGCGTGCGCGCGCCAGACAGACAGAGAGAGACGTAGAGACAGAAAGCGAGAACTCCCCCCCCAGGGGGGATGGTCACGCCGCAATCCCTTCTCCTCCATTCTCCTCTCGGGATCTTGGGCACGCACGCACACGCGCCCGGCGTGAGTTTTAAGCCACCGGGTCCGGGACACGAACCGCGGTCGACTACGTGGGAATCCAGCGACATAGCCATTACGCTAACTGCTGGTTCCCTCAAACAGTATATTTTGTGTGTGGTTTTAGGAGCCCTTACAGCATCCCGTTAAGTCTCTTTAAAATTCACTGCGTTTGTGCCGATCGACTAAGCCTGCTTCAGATGAAAGACGATGTTTGAAAATCGATCGTCTCCGTGAGCCCGGCAGCTCAGTTCACAGAGCGGTTAATGACTGTGTCGTGAATTCACGTATGGCCTTTCGAAAACCGGAGCTGACGTCAGAAAGCCCTGCTGGTGTGCGAGCTGTCGGGGATGCTGATGTGCTGCCTGGCGTCTGTGCACGGGCCTCCACAGGCCTCCCAGTCTGCTCCAAGCCCGTGTAGGGGACTGAGGAGGAGGGGAGGGAGGGCGAGGGAGGAGTGCACTTCGGTGGCTGGCGTGGCGGGCCTCTGGCAGCAGCTCGGCATCTCAGCGGTTAGCAGGAGGGTAGCTTGAGAGGAATTCAATCGTAGTGTCGGTTCTCGGGTAGCAAACCAGCCCCAAAGCCCAGTGGCTTAAAACAACAGCCATTTCATTTGCTGCTCACAATTCAGTGGGTCGGCAATCTGGGCTGGGCTCAGCTGGACGGTTCTTCGGCTTGCCTGACCTGGGGTTGCTTGTGTGACTGCAGGTGTCGGCTGGCTTGGCTGGGCTGAGTGGGCTGGGATGGCCTCCCCAACTCCCTCATTCCCCCCTCATGGAGTTAAGCTTTTTCCCAGGCTGCTCTCAACATTCCAAGAAAGGGGGGGAGGGGGGAGAGAGAGAAAGAGAACACAGTGACAGGCGAGGGTCTTGGAAGCCCGTGCCCTCACTTCTGTGGTATAAGCAAGTCACGGGTCATCTGGATCGGGGTGGGGCCCCAGGAGGAGCATGAGTGCGTAGCAGCAGGGTGGGCGCAGAGAAGGGAGCAGCTGTGGCCATATTCCAGTCTCCGCAGGGAGGGGGCTCTGGAGAGGGCAGCAGGGAGGAGTCATCCTGGGTGAAACCAGAGTGGTCCAGAGACTCCTGGGGAGTGAGCGAGGGGGTGGGAGGAGGGACACCACAGTTCAGCCTCAGCCACCAGCACCGGAGGGCCGAGAGGGGAGAGGTGCAGTTCCTCCAGGGCTGCGGGGCTGGAGAGGAAGGATGTGGCTATGGAAATGTAACATGTAAAATCAGGGGGAGGCGGTGTGTAGGAAATGCCCTGAGGCCCTCTGGACATTTTAAGGAGAGGGAATGCCCAAATAGGGCGTGGGGGCCGCCTCAGCAGCGTGCCAGGTGGTCCTGTACCACGAGGGAGGAGTGGAGAGTTTCTTCCTCTTTGTTGAAAAGTTGAGTTATTTCTTTCACGTCAGAGCAGAAGCGAGTGACGGGCACTCAGTAGGGTGAGTGACAGTCTCAAGACCCAACAGGGCCTTCACGCCGGACCCACTCCCACCTTCCCCTGGCTGGATCATGATGCAGGTGTGGCTGGCATGCTTGGGAGGTCCCCGGACCTTGCCCACTGGTCCAGTGGCCCTGCTGCTGTGCCCCTGCCTGGCCGCACGCCGGGGTTCACTATCCTGAGTCAGTGTCCTGCTGGCCGGAGTCAGGCTTGGGGTCCTGCGGAGGCTGGTCATCGCTGTTCCAGGCTGACACCCAGGGTCAGCCCTCCACGGCTGGACGTGTCCTTCCCATATCCCGACGCCCTCTTCGCTCTCTCCTGTCCCTCCTTCTCCATGTGGCTGTGCTCTGATGGAGCATCTGAGTCATCGTGTCTGCTGAGGTCCATGCTTTGTTTTGTGTCTCTTCTCAGTGTCTTTTCTCTTTCTTTTCTTTCCCTAGAGCAGTTGTGCAGTCTCCACCTCTAGGAAGCTCTCCCTGCTTGCCAAGCAGGAGCGCTAGGCTTCCTCCTAGTTCCATGGTGTCTCCGTGTTCTTGCTTTTAGCGGCACGGCCCATGCTAAGAGCGATGCCGAGTCTCTCCCACTTGGCGTCTCCAGGGCAGGGGCCGTGCGCTGCTCAGCCCCCCAGGGCGTCTATTTCTGTGTCCCCACAGCCTGCACGTAGTAAGTGGTTAATGTTAAGATGGGGCCAAAGGAGTTGGGCCTGCAGGGATCTAGGGATGAAAGAAGGGCCTCCCGTGTCTCAGAACGGCAGCGTACGGGAGGACCTGCACTCACACTGGGAACCCGGGCCAGCCAGGCCTCACTGTCCTTGGGGCACTTCAGCCTCACCTGCCTGCAGGGGCAGCCGGCCTGGTGGGTCCGGA